TCCCTTACTTATTGAAAAGCATGAATTTTTACGTGGGAATGCGGTGAAAATCCATAGTGCATTCATTTTCCGTCATTGTATCGAGTTCTGAAATATTGCTGTCAATTTTTGCTGTTACGCCCATTTAACATCTGAATTTATGAGCAATTACTTTAGCTCGGCATGAGGTTGACATGGAGCTCACCAAAGCAAAGCAAGCAGCCGAGTCTGAGCGTCTTTTGAAAGAAGGTTTGCAGGCGAAGGTATGCATTTTTTTGTTTTTCCTTTTTCCTTTCTTTTTTGACCTTTCTCAGACTTTTTGACGAAAACAGAAATGTTGTAAGGCGCTGATTTTGAAATTTTTTCTAGCTGGCAGCGTTTGGAGACGAAAATCCAGGAAAGGAAGCACGCCGATTGGGTGAAGAACTTGAACGATTGAATGAGCGCCATGCCGAAATCGTTGCGCAAGAAGATCAGAAGAGAAAACAGCTGGTCGAGCATTACCAGGCACGTCATAAATTCTATGGATGCGCAGATTCCGCTCAAAAAGCGTATTTTTTTAGGGTCAATTGGCTGAACTTCAATCTCAATTTGAGGAGAAAGACAATGAGTTGAAAGCGTCGCGTGCTAAGCTTGAAGAAGAACGTGCGCAATTTGCATTGCAACAAGAGCAAAACTCAAAGAATGTGGAAGTGAGGGTTGAGTGATTTAGAATCTAGGGCCAGAGGTTTTTTTGAAATTTGCGTGGAATTCCCAAGATATTTGTAAATTTTTTGATACCTAGGTGCAATATGATCGACTCCAGAAAGCTTATGAAGAGAACACTGCTCAATTGAAGTTGGAAAATGACACACTGCGAGCTGAGCTCTCTCGACTACATGCTGAGATGTCAGTAGTTTTTGAAACATTAGCTTTTTTTCACGTTGAATTGTAAAGAAGCCTGAATTCTGGTTTTTGGTTTTCAGTGAAATGAGTAGACCTGGCATCAACGAGCAGCAGCTACATGAGATTCTTAACTGGGTAAATGAGGAGAAAGCAACCAGGGAGGAGATGGAGGTAAGCAGACTTTAGTCTAGGTTTTTCCCTTTCTCCCGTAGAAGTCGTGGAACTTTAGTTTTGCAAAC